GTCGTGCTCGCCTCGGCCATAACACGGAAGGCCCTGTCAGTGGCGGCTCCATGCCTCGTGTTGTTGACATACCCTTACACGAACACAACAGACTCGACGGATTTATAGGTAATACGTATTCATGAACGCTGTTTTGGGGGCCTACTGTAATCAAACGTATCGTGAATCTGGACACACACACACACACAGACAGACACATGGCTTACAGACTTCCTCAGTGACCGACGCCAAGCTGTACGCTTCCGAGGGGCTGTCTCCACCTTTCAGTCACTCACCTGTGGCGTCCCCCAGGGCACCAAGATGGGACCACTCTGCTTCCTTATGCTTATCAATGATGCCCTAAGAGAAACACCCGCTCGCTGGAAATATGTCGACGACTCCACCATTGGGATCAGCGTCAACAATTCTGCTCCCGACAATACCGCCCTTCAGGATTTATTGAACAGTCTCCAAAACTGGGCCACCAACAACCACGTCACCATCAACCATACCAAGACCATGGTTATGCACATCAACCTCTCCTCCGACATTGTCCCACCCCCTTCCATTAATTTAGGTCCGAACACACTCCAGGTTGTAGATTCCACGAAGCTCCTCGGCGTCACCATAGACAACAAACTAAATTGGAAACCACACGTCAGTGAAGTTGTCAAATCCTCCAGTTTCCGTCTCCACCTCCTCCGCCGACTCAAGTCCCTCGGAGTTCCTACACCCGAGCTCCTCAGTGTTTACTCAACATTCATACTTCCCAAGCTCACCTATGCCTCCCCTACCTGGTCTTCCTCCCTAAATGCTACACAACGTAAACACCTAGAAAAAGTCCAAAAGAGGGCATGCAAGATTATTCTCTCCCCTTCCTACTCCACATATCAAGAAGTGCTCAACACACTGACCCTTTCGACTCTCACTGACCATCACACCACGACCTCATCTGCAAATTTGGTAAGAAGCTTCTGCACCATCCTCGACACCGGCTCCTACTACCACCTGAGATCCCTAGCCCGAGAATTGCTGTTCGACACCACAACCGCATCCAGCCCATACGTGCACGAACTGATCGCTATAAGAACAGCCCAGTCCCAACCATTGTAAAAATTATAAATAACTTGTAATAAACCAGTGTATTCACTCCCAGTAAATCCTACTTCTTGCACTGTCACTATGTTGAAATGCACTGTAGTTTGAGCTTTTCCCCATCTAGTTATTATATATCTTATTTATATTACTTATGTTACTTGTATATTATTTGTAATTCGAAACCCATTCCCCAATTATGTAACTGTATATTTTCAGCCCTCTAGCTGCCAAGCTCTTTCAATAAACCGTTTATTATTATTATTATTATTATTATTATTATTATTATTACACCTGTATTATATGATTAAATAATGTTAAAGTAAAGTTAATAAGGAAAGACATCACTTCCTCATTCTGTTGTGTATAGGACAATCAGCGTTACCAGTCATCCTGCGTCATTAGCCGTAATATCCTCGCTAATCAACCTCCACCATGATTGAGTCAGGAGCTTCCCCCCTACATCACGTTTCCATCTTTTCCTCCTGATTGGGCCACTAAGACTCTCCCTTATGGTAACTGATGAAAGTATTTCGCCTTACTGTCCTAGAAGAGAATACTAAATAACATGTTTAATACAGTTATACTTTCGGCTACAGTTTGGGACCCACTTGCTGAAATTCGTACTATATTTCCAGGCACAAAAACTTCTAGTTTGAACCCGAATCTAGAGAGACTCGTACGATATTTCCGGGTTCCATAACTTGCGATTTCGAACCCTTTGCCTATGAGACTCAACGATATTTCCGGGTTCCAAATTATTGCCTTAGTACCCGATTCTCAAAAGTTCTTAAAGTCTATTTTCTCGTATAAGTGACATGTGGCGGGGGGAATTGTATGGGAGCGTAATGGTGTTGTAGTAACTCAAGAGAGACTACCATAACTGGGCGCGTTGTTCCTAATTATTGGGGCAATCTAACTTACGGGTTATTTGAGAACAGTCTCTAAAATTCCCCTAAGATTGACACACTAAAGTATCTGTTCCTTATGACAGAGAGAGAAAGAAAATTATAGAAAGAGAGAGAGCTCCACCATCTCACTCACTGTATAGGAATCTGATGAAGTGGTGAAATACGTTGTGCCCTGGTAGCCGCCTGTTCCCCCCCACACACGCACGGGATGAGAGGCCCCTGTAATTTCCATATTATCTGTGAGTGTTATATACGGGCGGGAGTACGAGAGCCAGTTATGGGCGAGAGTGCAGGGAGTGAGAGTTGAGTATAGGTGAGAGATACTGGTGAGAGTGTTGGCTGGAGGTAAGAGAGTACTGGAGGTGAGTGTTGGAGATGTGAGAGTAGAGAGGGAAAGAGGTTGAGAGTACTGGAGCTGAGAGAGGGAGAGGTGTGTGAGAGTGTACCCTGGTGGTGGTGGTGACGTCAGCGATCAGGTGCTGTAGTTGAACAGAGATATTAAAGATGATGGTGTGGCGCCCCGTGTGTGTGTGGTACTGCTGCTGCTCTACACACACACATACTGTACCTCTACACACACACACACACTCTACTACTACTACTATTACTTTGCTGTCACTCGGAATCGAGTATGACGATCATCCAGCTATTGTACAATGATATGAGGTTTTAGGGATGTCACCTAAGTTAGTGAGCTTTGAGGTGACTAAAGAGACCGATACGGGACCCGCAGCATCGTTCACAATCGTTGCACATATGGAGGGCTCCATCTACTGCGGGAGGGGCGGTAGCAGAGTCTTTCAGGCGTTGGCGCTTGTGTGCCTCGGTTTGCAGTCGGGCTAACTCGAAGGTATTGACACCTTCTCGTGTGGTGCTCTTCCAGTGTTACGATGTGGAGTAATCGACTCCCAGGTGAGGGGGTCGATTTGGCACTTTTTTCAGGTTTGTCTTAAGACTATCCTTATACTTTTTCAATTGTCCGCCGACGTTACGTTTACTATTCGTTAGGTGACTGTAAAGTAGCTGCTTTGGTAGTCTAATGTCGTCCATGCGGGTAACATGGCCAGTCCAACGTAGTTGTTCATGGATAATGGTAGCCTCAATGCTCCTACAGCAGGAGTCAGCAAGAATACTGGCATTTGTTCTCTTGTCTTCCCAGCGAACTCGGAGGATGGAACGTAGACTACGTTGGTGAAAGTTTTCAAGTGCATTAAGGTGCCTCCAGTATGTGACCCATGTCTCACTGCCATACAGCAGGGTGGGGAGGACCACTGCTCGATATACGTGCAGCTTTATAGATAATTTCATCTCCCTACAGCTGAAGACATGATTTCGGAGTCTGCCAAAGGTTTGAGATGTACATCTGATCAGATGCTGAATCTCTTCATCGATGTCTGCGGTGGTGGACAGGTGGGAGCCGAGATACCGAAAGTGGGCAACATTAGAGAGGGTAGTACCGTTAAGCTGGATGGATGGTGGAGGTGTGTCTGAACCAAGGGCAAGTTGAAAGAGAATCTGAGTCTTACGTACATTCACTTCAAGACCGAAGTGCGCATGTGCGTCTGTGTAGGTGTTCAGGATCCCCTGTAGGTCGTGTTCAGTGTGAGCAACAAGGGTGAGGTCGTCTGCATACTGAAGTTCAGTAATGGAAGCTGCCGACACCTTTGTTCTTGCCTGGAGTCATCTTATGTTGAAAATACCCCCCTTCACCGGGTACTCGATGTTCACCCCGCTGGCTAAATTGGCACTGGCACGACTAAGGAAGGCAGCTTTGGATGGGGTAGAACTCTGACTGGGTGCCTTGTGCAGCAAACTGCCGTTCATGCCATCGTGGAGTTGCTTCACAATGGTGATGAATTTTGGTGGGCAGCCAAAACAGCTGAGGGTCCACCAAAGGGCTTCACTGTTGGCCGAGTCGAAGACCTTGGTTAGGTCGATGAAAGCCATGTACAGGTCACGACGCTGTTCTCTGCACTTTTCCTGTATCTGGCGGGCAGCAAATATCATGTCAGTGGTGCCACGTGATGGTCTAAAACTACATTGAGATTCAAAGAGGAAGTTTTCAGCCTCAGGAAGAAATCTATTTTGGAGGACTCGGGCGATAGTCTTGCCAGCTACGGAGAGCAGCGAGATCCCACGGTAGTTGCCACAGTCTGACCGGTCTCCCTTGTTCTTATAAATATTGACAATGGAGGCATCTTTAAGAGCTTGGGGGATTTCCTCCTTTTCCCATATATTCTCCAGGAGAGAGTGGAGACGGCTGGTAAGCAGAGGTCCTCCTGCCTTATACACCTCGGCTGGGATTCCATCAGGCCCTGAGGCTTTGTTATTTTTCATCTGTTTGATGGCAGTAGCTACCTCATCCAGGGATGGAGGATAGCTGAGGTAGGTCAGCTCTGGATGCTGAGGGACCTGCTGGGTAGTCAGGACATCCACATCGGTGTTTAGGTTGAGCAATGAATGGTAGTGCTCTTTCCAGCGCTGAAGGAGGTCTAAATCGTCTTTAATTATGTGGTTACCGGCAGATGAGCGGAGGGGTGGGCAGCACCACAAGTGATTGGCCCATAAAATGTTAAATGTTTTAATGGAAATGAAAAATCGCGCATCTTGTGCTGATCTGCAAGTTTGTGTGCTTCACATGCTTAATTTTTTAGTCAGTCGTTCTTTAGATTGCTTAGTTCCTGCCGGGCTGCCGTTTTCTTCTAGCGGAAGGCGCACACACACACACACACACACATATACTGTACATACACACACATACTGTAGCTGTACATACATACACATACATACTGTATCCCCCCCCCACACACACACACACATCATGATGTGTGTTAATTCATTCATATACTCACACAACATGCTGAAAACACTTCTCACGACTAACACGTTTCACGGCAATGTAAAGTAAGTCAGGTGTTAACAGAGGGGTGTTACGTGTGTTGTGACAGTGTTAACACGATGTGAGGTCCCCGTCCAGAGGTGTGGACATTCAAGCATGTGCAAGAGGATACTCACCTGGCCGATGGCTTCCTTGAGCTTGTACTGGTTGAGCTGCACGTATTCTCCATTCTTCTCAATGCTGACGCACCGAGACTCCTTGAGCGGGCGGCGGCGTAGTCTGGGGGAGGAGCACGGGGAGCCGTAGGGGGAGAAGGGCACGTTGGGGTAGATGGGTCGGTCTCCCATGTTCACACTCTTAGACTGTATGAGCTTCGCAATGTGCGTTCCACGACGCGAGGACGCGCACGTACCCGTCCCAGTAGTACGACCCGACGCGTACGGTCCGTTCTCATCTACAGAGTTGGAACGGATATTGGCCAGAGACCCTCTTTCTACGAGGGAGTTGACCCGGGACAACTGCCGCAGTTCCTCACAAACGCTGCGGCTGGGTTTGTGTTCAGTGAAGCTCCACCCGCCGCTGGTCGGGGTAGGTATAGTTATAATGGTCGGGAAACCACTCTCTGACACTGAGGCTTCTGCCATCTGCACTGAGCCAGTTCCCGACGCCTCCGCTGTGTCATTCACTACCTTGGGTGCCCCAGTGACTGCTACACTCCCGCCATCGTTGCCTTTCACACTCCTACTGTCTTCCTGATTGGTGGCGCTGATATGGAGTCTGGCGGTTGAGTCAGCAAGGTTATCAGTGTCGCTCTTATCGCCCGTCTTGCACTCCCAGTCACTCTTACTCATATTTGTGATAGAGCGTCCATAATTGGAAGGTTTTGAAACACAGTTAAGAGCATCGTGAGTATTGACAGTATTCGATCTCACTGTACTGGGGCTGGCAGGGGTTTCTGGGGATCTGGCAGTGCTGGTACTACTAAAAGTGTCCAACGTGCTGCTTGTGATGGGGCTACCAGACGTATCCAACGTGCTATTCGTGTTGGGGCTGCCAGACGTATCTAATGCACTGCTTGAGTTGGGGCTGCTAGGAGTGCTGGCTGTTGTGGCAGTCTTAACAGTTCCCGCTGAGCAAATATCTCTGTTAGCACTATCGCTGGAGCAGGTGTTCCCCGCTAGGTGAGAGTCGCTGTTAGTCCTGTCGTTGGAGCAGGTTGTGCTAGCAGGACGCACATCCAGTGAGACGTGTGGGGCATGGTTGGTGGAGCGCTCTTCCGGCGTCCGCGAGTCCTTCCTGAAGTAGCCAGGGTCGTGACTGGCCAGCTCTTCGCGGAAGGACGCTGCAGGGTGATGGTGCCTCTTGACAGCCGCCACACCCAGGCTGCTGCGTTCCGTGCCATCGCCCTCCTCCTCGATCGCGGTGCGCCTGCAAGAGATACAAACACTCGTTAACCTCACAACTTATCACCAAAGCTTATACATACACATACATGCTACTGCAAAAATAAGACTAGTACATCTTCGATTCTCACATATACGGTATATATCTTATATTCCTTACAAGAAGGTTAGTGTGTAAATCACCGCTGAACAAAGTCAAACATTTATCAATAATAACAGGCGTATAAACACTTGACATAACGCACTCACCATTATACACAAGCAATAACTTTATAAAAAAATTAAATTTCCAGAGTTCGCTAACAAGTCTTCGGCGTGTAAGGACCCTTCGATCGATCACCTCTACCCTCTCCAGGAACTCAAAACACATTACTCAGCCCGCCATGACAAAAACAAAACCACCCTTCTCTGTTCAACACGTGAGGAGGTTCAGTCTCCCTCATTACCAAGCTCCAGGCTCGGAGGTCTATTGTGAGCGGCTTGGCAACCCCGGTAAAAACGCTTGAATTTTTTCCCATAAAGCAATTTTCCTTTACACAATATCCTACCATAGAATTTTCATTAAAACAAAAACAAAAAAATACTTCTGTACAACATTTTCCAGTGAACAAATTCTTACCACAGAATTATCCATTAATTTGAATTATATTCGAGATATTTTGTTTCTTAGTCTGTCCAGTGACTGTCCAATCGTCTTTGATCACCTGGCCAAGAGCCTAGAAGAGTGTCGAACGGTGGCAACCCCTCCTATGTCCTTAAGAGCCGCCACCTCCAGTCCAGTTTATGTTTGGCTGGAAGTTATAATGGATAAAAGATAAAAGTTTTTACCACAACTAGTCTGAAAAACAAACTTTTTATGGCTCGACCCCCCCCCCCCTCCCCTTCTCCCGGATGTCGGAGGTATGTGTGTGTTTTTAAATTGATTTACAGAAGGCTTCACCGATATCAAACTCACTGTGTATGTGATTGGTGGTGGTATTCGTTGTGGGGAAGTAAGCCACATCCTTACAAAACTAACTGCAAAAATAAATAAAATACTGAACTGGTTTATAAAAAATATCCAGACAAAAATAGGAAATTATAACCATGTCAAGCCATCAGTGCCGTGACTCTTGGCTAATGCGGCCAAACGTGGTGGAGTTGACTCGTTTATGCTACCATACACGGGGGGGTTCAGTTTGGATATATTGCAGCCTGTTGCCCGCGTCTTCTTACACACCAATACAAAAAGAAAAAATAATAAAAACAGACATAATGTAAACACGCCAATTTAACTCTCCGTACTTATAATAAACGAGAAGACAAAAGGAGAAATTGGACGAAAATATTTGTGAAAAACACACATTGCATTATCAAAAAACAAGACAGGACCCGTTGCCATCCATCCACCTGACTACGTTACACCAGATCCTGAACCCTGACGGCGGTGAAGTGGACGTTTATCCACAACACAGCGCCTACGTGACTTGATTCCCAATTATGTGAAGAGATTCTTGTATTGTGTGCTTCGTCACAACAAGAATCGGTGGGTATTGTGCTGCATAGTTTTTTACGCCGGAAAAACGCTGCCGCCACCCCTCCCGCACTAGATGTAGCCCTCCACACGTGCAACATCTGTGTCCTGTATCGGCCTCTCGAGTCACCTCAGAGCTCACCAACGAAGGTGATATCCTTTAATAACTCATATCATTTTATCATAGCTGGATGATCGTCATACTCGATTCCGAGTGACAGCAAAGTAGTAGTAGGAGTAGCTTTCTTCGACATCAGGATTTTTGATCCCATGGCTGCATGTCACCGTAACCTCGCTCTCGATGCTGCACATAGGAGGAACGAGAACGACAAGAGAAGGGCATACGGGGAGAGAATCCAAAACGTTGATCAAGGCAGCTTCACTCCGCTAGTGTTCACAACCTCTGGTGGGATGGGCCCAAGTGCAAGATGTTTCTACGCCAGACTCGCGGAGGTGATCTCCGAACAGAAGCAGCAGCCCAGAAGTTATGTTACAGCCTGGATGAGATGTCGACTGTCTTTCTCTCTCCTTCGGTCGGCTTTGCTTTGCCTCAGGGGAACGAGAGCTCTGCGGCTCAACTAATTTAACACAGATAGGATAGCTTCTTATGTATTAGGATATTTAATATTAAGGTAAATAAATGGTGGCGAAGGTGTGGCTATTGGGGGAGGCTGAGGCCATTCTATAAAAAAAAAAAAAAAAAAAAAAAAAAAGTAGTAGTAGTAGTAGTAGTGTGTGTGTGTGTGTGTGTGTGTGTATGCAGAATCTCAGCAACGGAGGGGCAGATTTTAATGAGACTTTCTGAAAGGTGTTGGCCAAGTAAAAACTAAACATTAAGTATGTCAACAGAACGTCAAAGTCACAAGAAGTCAAACTTCCTCGTAAGACAATTTAAACGACATTGAGAGTTGTGTGTCTTCAAACTTTATTCATTCACACAAAATACGTCTCAATACTGGTGCTAAGCGAACGTATACATTCAGTTAGGCTAGAGTCGCTAGACTGTGTAATTACCATGTCATCATTGTTCATTATATTCATTTTATTTGTCTTTTACCAAATATTAACCAGCTTAGGGTGATATATCCTTACTTACAGCCAATGATCAGCGTTGGAAGCTATGCATGTGGACCTTGGTCATGACCTCGATTAGCGACACAGTCTAGTGGTGACACATACACGATCTTACCTCAGACATGAATGATGAGTCCTAATGATTATCCCAAGTCACGTAACTCTCACTTAGGCATGTAATTCACTGTGATAGATAAGGTCAATTTAAGAACCAAGTTTTTCTCAATTAAAAACTTCATATATAATTTAAAACAATCCAACTTTTTAAATGAAATTAAAATGAAATAAAATCTTAGGAACGACGATGTATAGAAAATTAAAATGAGTTAGATTTCTTAAAAGTTCGTAAGATAAAAGTCTTCACCCGTAAATAGAATGTTGAGAGAGAGAGAGAGAGAGAGAGAGAGATTAACCATTTCATTCCCAGCCTGGTCATCTCAAGTGTATAATTAATTTTTTACAGTTAAATCAGGGTAAAATCGACAAAAACAAGCGGAACAGACGAGTTAACTTTACTCTACTAATGATTCTAGCTTATTCCTAGTCACTAATTAGTCCAGATTTATACCTAGTCAGTAATTAGCATCTGCCACGCAAAGTATCTCGGGTTATCGGGTGAAGTCCAAGCTAGCCATTTACTTCTGAATTAGTCTCTGGATAAACTCCCACCGGACGGAAGGTCACTGGACAAAAGCTCCCAGATTCAAAATAAAACAGCGGACAAAATCACAAAAGCTCATGTTTTATCCAGTCCTAAATCCCTGTTGGGTAGATTTTAGGGTAAGCTAGGAGTTGAGACTAGGTAAGAATAGGTTAAGATAGAGTAGGTTGGACTAGCCTAGGTAGCCGAAGGGGTGGACATCCAGTATCAGATGAAAGGTCTTTGCAACATTTAAGACGACTCCAGCCAAGAACAAAGGTGTCGGCAGCTTCCAATACTGAACTTCAGTATGCAGACGACCTCACCCTCGTCGCTCACACTGAACGTGACCTACAGGAGATACTAACCACCTACGCAGACGCGTATGCACAGTTCGGCCTTGAGGTGAATGTACGCAAGACTCAGATTTTCTTTCAGCCCGCCCCTGGTTTAGCCACACCTCCACCATCCATCCAGCTTAACGGTACTACCCTCTCTAATGTTACCCACTTTCAGTATCTCGCCTCCCACCTGTTCACCATCGCGGACATCGATGAAGAGATTCAACATCGGATCAGATGTGCATCTCAAGCCAGTGGAAGACTCCGTACCCGTGTCTTAAGCTGTAATGAGCTGAAATTATCTACAAACTTGCACGTGTACCGAGCAGTGGTCCTCCCCACCCTGCTATATGGCAGTGAGACATGGGTCACATACAGGAGGCACATCAAGGCACTTGAAAACTTTCACCAACGTAGTCTACGTTCCATCCTCCGAGTTCGCTGGGAAGACGAGAGAGAATGCCAGTGTTCTCGCTGATACCAACTGTAGGAGCATCATGGCTACCATTATCCATGAACAACTACGCTGGACTGGCCATGTTACCTGCATGGACGACAGTAGACTGCCTAAGCAGCTACTTTACAGTCACCTAATGAATAGTAAACGTAACGCTGGTGGACAAATGAAAAGGGATAAAGATAGTCTAAAGACAAACCTGAAAAAGTGCCAAATCGACCCCCTCACCTGGGAGACGATTACTCCACACCGTAACGCTTGGAAGAGCACCACACGAGAAGGTGTCAATACTTTCGAGTTAGCCCGACTGCAAACCGAGGCAGACAAGCACCAACGCCGGAAAGACGCTGCCGCCGCCCCTCCCGCACTAGATGTAGTCCTCCACACGTGCAACATCTGTGGCCTTGTCAGCCCCGTATCGGCCTCTCGAGTCACCTCAGAGTTCACCAGGAAGGTGATATCCTTAATAACTCATATCATTGTATCATAGCTGGATGATCGTCATACTCGATTACGAGTGACAGCAAAGTAGTAGTAGTAGTAGTAGTAGTAGTAGTAGTAGATTGGACTAGCCTGGATTAGGTTTGCCTCGACTGAGTTAGAAGACACTTTAGCTTGGTATAGGCTAGGCTAGGACACTAGGTTATGGTAGGCTACAGCTGAATGGATGGGAATTCTTATTTGGCAATTTCAATATTCGTGTTATCCTGATGCTTTAGGAAAATTAAAGTACCAGTAATATTAAACACAGAGAAATGAAAGATAAATTGGAGAGAGAGAGAGAGAGAGAGAGAGAGAGAACATAATTCCTCTACTGTAGGCTGAGGCTTACAGTTGTCCCCAAAATATAAAGGTTTGAGGGCCGTAAAAATTACTTGGGAAGGCTCTGCTTTAGACCTAGCTTTATGGCGAGACCCGGCCGCTACCATGACAAGTGACATCAGAACTACCATCAAAACTACCATGAGAGCCACCATCAAAACTACCATGAGAGCCACCATC